CAAGAGTGGTGAAACATTGGAACAGACTGCCCAGGGAAGTGGTGGAGTCCCCATCCCTGGAAGTATTTAAAAGACGTGTAGATGAGTTGCTTAGGAACATGGTTTAGTGGGCATGGTGGTGTTGGGTTGACGGTTGGACTCGATGATCTTAGAGGTCTTTTCCAACCTTAATGATTCTATGATTCTATGACATAATACTACATATCTGTAAATATTTCACCAGCCCTTAGATGGCCTCAATTCTGATGAGGTTTTCTAACACGACTTAAAGCCGTTCTATATAATTGTATATACATGGCAGACACCTACTCATCTATGGATGACTAGCTTCTCTGAGATCAAATTATTTTCAGTTCTTCTTCAGTAGACAATCACTTTCAGGGCAGGGCATCTGGGCTTTTCATGAGAAACCATGCACACCTAGTAGGAGACTGCTAAATCCTACATTGTGCACAAAGCAGAGGTGAATCTTGGAAGAATTCAAGAGGCCTGCAGATGCAGAAATGTAAGAGGTCACACTTAATAACACAGTAATACTAATAACTGAGACTTAATAGCTAACTATTGTACTGAACAGATACACGTTACATGAACCAACTCTCAATAATGCCAATTTTGTACCTGACTGCAAGGCTAGCCTAAGTAGGGAAAAACAGCTGTAATAGATTAATCATCTGGTCTGTGAGTGACTATGTTAGTAGTGTTATGAGTAAGTTCTTCCAAAACCCAGGACCACAACAGAAGATGAGATTTCATTAAGAGAGTTTCTAGTGGACCACAGAGAAACAAGTTTAATTATGTTTCTCTTTAAGAATGAATCAGCATTTGACTCCCCAGTTTGCTCACAGATACTTCCCCAATTTTCCATTTTATGTGCCTGTTAATTCCTGGGTTCCTTTAGCATCATGGTGGATTGACCCTGGCCAGAAAGTAAGCACCAACCAGCTGCTTGTTCACTCCCCCACCTCCCCTTTCTCCCCAGCAGCATGGGGGAAGAGAACTGGAAGAGCAAACGTGAGAAAAAAATGCATGGGGTGAGATAAAGACAGGTCAGTAAATGAAGGGAAAAACAGAAAAGAACAAAAAGAAGAACAAGTGATGCAAAGGCAGTCACTCACTACCTCCCACCAGCCACCCAGTACCTTGGAAAGACCACCACCATCCCACCCAGCTTTACTGCTGAGGATGCTGTCATCTGGTGCGGAATAGCCCTTCGGTCTGTTTGGTACAGCTGTCCCATCTGTGTCCCCTTCCAGCCTCTCACCCTCCCCCAGCCTACTCGCTGTGGGGGCAGCATGTGAAACGGAGAAGGCCTTGATGCTGTGCAAGTACTGTTCAGCAACAGCCAAAACATCAGCGTGTTATCAACACTGTTTTGGTCACACATTGAAAAGATGGCACTGTACAGCCTGCGATGAAGAACATCAACTTCATCCCAGCCAGGCCCGCTACAGGCATAAACCTGCTAGGTCTCTGAGAAATGAGCCCAGGTGTACTTCTGGGCTTAGGTCATGCCAAGAGCCCTTCACAACCAGCAAGAGGGATAGGAACAAACCTACCTACCTTGGCAGGCCTTCACCCTTCAGCATCTTGCACTTGCCCTCAGGTGATGCAAGGCACATGCTGACATGATTATAAAAATAAAAAAAAAGCATGCACACTTTTCCCACTGTATAACCACAGTGATATCTCAAAATCACCACATAGACCCAGCAGTTCAGGCCAAGTGTTTGCTAGTAAGGCAATGTAATTGCACCACTTCTGAGGGTGCTACCACAGAGAACTGGGGTCTCACACACAGAGGCAGCAGCCCCGAAATGTACACCAAGATGCATTAACACACACAAGATGGCCAGAGGAGCAGGCCACATCCTGCCCAGAAGCTGGCTGAGAGCAAGTGGGG